TTGATTAAGCCCATCTTGAACAAGCAAATTAAGTATATGGGCACAACACCTAACATGAAAAATTTTTCCTCCAATGCTCAACCTTTTTCTTAGAGAGAAATCCTCTTTAACTCTCCTAATGCATACATCATTATAAGAAGCATTGTCCACAGTGATAGTAGAAACCTTATTTTCAATCCCCCACTCAAGAAAACACTTACTTAACGCATCAGCAATAATTACACCCGTGTGAGGAGGTGGGACATTACAAAAATTTAGAACCCGTTTTTGCAACACCCAATCACTATCAACAAAATGCCCAGTCACAACCATGTATTGAATTTTTTGACCAGATTTCCACAAATCTGTGGTTATACTAATCCTATTGGCACCTTTTAAGATATTTCTCAGCCTTCTCTTTTCAAGCATGAAAGCAGTCACACAATCTTCCTTTACTGTTTGCCGGTTAATCTTTTTATAAAATGGAGATGCAGCTTTCATGAACTTGTTAAAAACAACATGATCCAACATAGAGAAGGGATACTCATGTACAAGAACCATATGAGCTGCTAACTCTCGTACTTTAGCATGATCATAAGAGAAATTAGTTATAGAAGTTATACCATCCGAGGGGCCTTCGGTAAAGGATAACACTTGCTGCCTCTTTTGATTTTCCTCTCCAACAGCCAGCCTCTTTTGTAGGCAATTTTTGAGATGACGCTTGTGTTGAGAAGTAGCTCCAGATGGATTTTTGACAAATAGTTCTTTGCAGTGATTACACTGCACTTTCAATGTTCCATCAGGCTGTTTTACTATAGTCATATCCTCCCATATTGTTGACTTCTTTTTCCGTTGTTTTTTTTCAAACGGATTTGCTCCTTCAACAGCACCTTTTTCCCCTGTTTCTGTTCCTTTATTCAGCTGATCTAAGTGATCTAAGTCCAGCTCTTCTTCGCTCATCTCATCAGCATTAGATTCCACCTCAAGTTCTTGTTCGACAGCTTCATTTCCAACCTCCATAATAGGACTTGTTGACGATCCTTGGTGACTGTACATACCTATTATTTAAAAGGAAAAATATACTTGAGTCAAGTTCATAAGGAACATATGCAGGAATATATGCAGTCAAGTCCATATGATATTTAATAACTATTTTCAGCTTGCTTTTCGCCATTTCTACAAATGCATGAATCCAAATTAGCAATAAAACCTGAAGTACCATTTATGCAACAAATAACAAACAATTTTAGAATCCAATATTAGTGGCCAATTAGACCTTAATTCAGAATAAATCTCTACATATAAGATTAGTTAACTCTCCATTTCTCCTGAAAAAAGAGGAAAAGAAGAAAGGTAGACAGAGAAGTATTTTCATCTATAGAGAAATTATCTAGAGAAGTAAATGGTGCCAGCCTGTGCTGCAGGCGCAATGCCATGAACAAAAAATTGCCAAATCATCCCATCCTCATTCTCACGTGGTCGTGCACCCATGGCAAGGTTTAGCTTCTGCCTTGTGGATCCCTCGATGGGAAGCAAAAGAAAAGGAAAACAGCAAAACAAAAAAGAAAAAAAAAAGAAAATCAAACATCCCTCTATGCAGCCAGTGCCTATATTATTCATTCAATAATTCATTTAACTCAATTCACACACACATAAATGGCCCCAAGACGAAAATATCAAACTAATCAAACACTTTGAAATTGAAATGAAATGAAATGAAAGGCCAATCAATCCCTGTGATAGTGTAACAGTTAGCTCACGAACATTGACATGTTTCATTCAAAAGATCAAAAATTTACCCAAAAAAAAGAAGTATGCTGTCCAAATTAAGTCCGTAAGGCTTTGTGAGTCAAAAATGAACCACCCTTTAGAGAGGCTTTGCAGAGTTGAGGTTAAATTCTAAGATGAAAACTCTTAATTGGAAACCAAATTTGGCAGCTTTAGCTTTGAAGCACTAACATAACAGTCCCATATAACATGATGCTACCCAACTTGGCATTTGAATGACAAAATTTTTGGATTCTTCATAATTAATACAGTCAAAAACATTAAAAAGAGAAAATTGAAGTGTAGTATAACGTCTGTGCGTATCAAACTTAAATTGGATTTTCAAGACAACGGTCTTCTTTCTGAAATTGCATAAGCTATCCGTTTTGGAATGTAAAAACATTACAAAATTAAAAAATTAACTAGTACAGAACAGAAGTTACGGGTCATTATTGATTATGCAAATTACAGAAATTACAGAAATTATGCAAAATCCTTAAAAGCCTTGCAAGTAGAAGACGGTCACCAGACCTTTAAGTCCTTCTCACATCACATGTTAAGTTTTTGAAGCATAAGCAACAATGAAACCTAAAACCAGAAAAGAGACAAGAATGAACTCTTGTCATTCAGTATAATTAACCTACGAAAAGAGACGAGACTTACCAGAAATCACGAAGGATTAGAGAAACCAGTCAAATTGGACTGGTTTTTGGCCCTGGCCGTGGACGGGGTTGTTAATGGCAGAAAACAGAGGCTGTGGGCGGCAGTGGAGGCAGAGGTTGCTGTGGGTTGCGGCTGTGGAGTGCGGCTTGCTGTGGAGTGCGGGGTTACGGTGTTGCGGGGTTGCGGGCTGCGGGGTTGCGGTGTTGCGGGGCTGCGGGGGTTGCGGGGCTGCGAGGTTGCGGAGCTGCGGCGTTGCGGGGCTGTGGGTGCGGCTGTGGGTTACTGGTTGCGGGTTGCGGTGTTGCGGGGTTGCTGGGTGCTGGGTGCTGGGTGTTGGGTGTTGCGGAGCTGTGGGTTACTGGGTGCGGTGTTGCGGAGCTGCGGCGTTGCGGGGCTGTGGGTGCGGCTGTGGCCTGTGGGTTACTGGTTGCGGCCTTGCGGGGTGCGGCGGAGAGGGAGAGGCAGAAATGAAGAATGAGAGTATGAGACGATGCAATATCAACCCTAGTCCAAATTTCTACCTGTTGACTGCTAAAATGACACAAATACCCTTCTTTGTCGAGCTCAACCGAGCTACTCGATAAAGAATCGAGTTCGAGCTTACTCGGCTCGATAACTAAACGAGTATTTGTCGAGCTCGAGCTCGGCTCGTTAATTGAAATTAACGAGCCGAGCTCGAGCCTTATCGAGCCGAGCCTTAACGAGCTTTCGAGCTACTCGTTTCGCTTAACAGCTCTAATTGTGAGATAGTCCATCAGCGCAGGTCCATATTACAATTTGGAAGTATTGATGACTTGATGTCAAGAGGCTTGAACTAAAAGACTACTTTTTTAAAAAAAAAAATCAATAAAACTACTTTCTTTTAGTCCAAACAAAATATCAAAAAAACCTACTAAAAAGTTTTTCAAATAATTTAAACTTAAAGTTTGGTGCTACTTGGACTTTTCTAAAGTGCTATAAAAAACTTTTTTTTTTTAATGATATTAACGACAGCAGTGGTTGGGATTACCTACTTTAGTTTGCCGCCTTTTAGGCCCTATTGTAAGAAGAAGAAAAAAAGGAAATTAAAAGAACTTAAATACTAAAGAATGTCAAGTAACAAAATGTACCTTTTTGTGTAGTCAAATTGGAACTACAAACAAGGAAGTAATGTGACTATTTTGGGAAAATCTTAAATAGTAGAGGATTAAAGTGAAATTCACCGTCTCTTTTTTCTCCTGTTCTCGAGAAAGTAATTTTAAATCAAACCAGTAATGATTGATTTTAAGCTCACGGCAGCCCTTGAATAGGCTCACCTCGAGCACTCAGCGGGTTCACGACAGAAAACAGATGAATATACAGAGGTTGTAATCCAGGAATATTTATTAAGGACTAAAAACAATTGAATCCTACAAGTCTCAGACAGTATAGTAATTGCCCTTCACTTTCTTCGTCCTATGAGTCTGGCCCCATTTGCTCCTCATTTCTGTTTGTTTTTGTGTCAAAAGCATATGCAGTCTGCTGGAGACAATTCCAAGAAGGGGTCCATTTTCTTGAGCCGTCTCGACTCAAGTGCAGTAGGAATCAAGATGAGAAAGCTTCATTGAATTCTTCACATAGCGCCAATTTTGAAGCTACCCTTCACTTTCTGCGTCTCTAATTCTGGCCGATTTGCTTATCAATTTTGTTTGTTATTGTGTCACGCACATGCAAGTCTACTGAAGTCTAGTCCAAGAAGGTGTCTGTTATCATGTTCCTATTCAAGTATTGCAGTCATGCTGCTCTGGAGTAAGACTCCTTTCTTCAAACGAAAAGAAATATTAAAGGGTAAACTACCTTTTAATCATAACTATATTTAAGATTTTCCCTCATAATTTCTCTTACCTTTGACCCTTTACCTTTAGGATTTTTACTCATAACTTCTCAAAGGAAGGGTACGTTTTGATTTCCTTTTTCACTTTTGATTTCTGTTTTATTCTTCAGTTTTATTTATTCTCCTTCCTCAGAAAGCCCTGAGAAGCAACACCACATGCAGCCATGGCCCATGGCTGCAACTTATAGTAGTAATATACTAAAATAAAGAAACCTACTGCCTATAGTAGAAAAAAATTAATTTGTTGGGGTCATCTGAACCCAAGGCTTTCAACATAGAAAGATGCTATCTTGACTTTTTTGATGTGCTATATTTTTTCGGATGACCATCATGGTTTTATTCCAGAAATGAAAAAACAGGCAGAAGATCAAGATTGTGAATCTATGATTTCGTGGGAATTTAATTCTTGAGAGAATCTGTTTTAGGGTGTCCACTAGCTATGCCCCAACTTCATATATTTCCAGCTTTCAGGCCAGTCCTCTACTTTAGCAAGAAAAGCTTATAGATGCTTATCATCCTTCAGGTTCATGTCACCGTCAAAAAGCAAAAACATGAACTAAGGTCTGCAACCACTGTAGCCAATACATTAATCCTTCTTCCCAGATTAAAACCAAGAAAGAAAAAACTTGTTTCAGTGGCAAGCGTGAGTTTCTGTTCAAGGGAATAGGGATAGCCATTCATCAAGGCTTCTAGTCTAAGTATTTGTTGCTTGGGGACGTGTGTGTTAGCCAAGGATTAATGACTATACAAAATTCTTACATGTCTTTTCCAGTTAAATGAAAAAGCCTGAATTGGCACAAAGAGCATATTATACCACTCAATTGCACATCATCGACTATGAATGAGGGAACAAAGTTGAGACAAAGCGCACAAAATAATTCAAAATAATTCCTATTTATTAGGACACTTTACATGCACAACTGGTCTCGCTTTCGAATTGTAGGATCGAAAATATGGTCTGCACAAACGTCAGAACGAGCAACACAAGAGCAGCTGCAAATGAGATGATGGACCAGGGGTTATTGAAATAATTCCTCATCAGATGAGCCCTCCAGATGTTCCAACGCCGGCTAGAATACTCGTTCACTTGCTTGAAAACTCTCGAGTAACAGAAGAAATCGTTGCCTGCATCAGTCTCGACCTCCTTCACAAGACTATTAAACACTGAAGATATCGCTTTATCATCACCTAACCACTTGGTTATAATTTTTTGGTGTCGAAGCTTTTCAACATCCCTTGAGGAATCAATGAGACTATCCATGAACGTGATATAATCGATTACATATCTTCTATCATTCAGTCCATTAATCATGTAAAGTTCAAACCCAATTAAGTTTCTGAAGACGCATTCTGTAACATCATGAACGTCCAAAGTCGGGATTTTCATTACCCCCTTTTCAAAAGCAATATCCAGCCACGATACACTTTCGTTAGCCGTCTCAAACTTTATCCCGGCTTGTCGCAGCTCGCTTGCGCATTTTATGTGCTCGTACACCTGGCCACTTGTGGAACAATTGTCTTGCGAATCCCCATTCTCTTGGCTTTGATGATCAGCTACTCGTTTTGCAGCAAATGAAAAACAGTGCAAGCTGCTAGTAATTTCGTGTAGCTGGGTTGCGGATACACCTTTCTCCAAATCCCAGCCGCTTGTGGAATAAATGTCATGTGGATGCCCGTTTTCTAGGCTTCGATTATCAGCTGCGGGTTTTGCAGCAAATGGCCAACATGCGCTGCCAGAAATTTTATGTAGCTTGATTGAGGATTTTTTCATTAGCTTCAACCACCCGCCTCTTGTAGAATGAAAGCCTTGTGGATCCCCGTTATCTGGGCTACGATTACCACCTGCTAGTTTTCCAGCAAATGACCAACACCAGCACTCGTGCACCAGGTGAAGAAGATGAACGACATCTCCAACATTTCCAGCAATGTTTGTGGTAGGATTCGGTAATGATACAGGTTTCTCACCTGGGAAAAAGAAATGCAGAGGTGAATGAGGGAAAATGGCAAGATCAACGAGGTTCTCCTCCTCAGCTCCTCCAGGTGACTTAGTCATTTCAAACAGACGAACCAGGATGAAGAAAGGCAGTTGATTTTCAAACAATAGTATGTCCCTGAACAGACATCCTATTATCCTACGATTCAGGATGATGGGATCACCTTGTTTTGGGGCATAATTAAGGGGATACTCTTTGTACTGGCACCAACCAGCATATTTCCTCAAAAGCTCAATGATAAAGAACCCGTCAAGTAGCATCATTTCCACAAATTCATCACTACCAAGACCAATCATATCTTCTTCTGCATACCAAATTCGAGCTTCATCTTCAAGGTCTTTTAAGGCATTGATGTATCTCTCGGTACTTGACTCGCCTCTTCGAAGGAGAAGCTCTTTCAAGTACCACAGCTTATACGTCTGCGCTTTTACCAAGTTTTCCTTACCGTGATGATAAGGCCCGATAGAGAACATCTGTGGTTCGTACGCCACTTCATTTTGGCTACGAAGTTTATGATGGACTCTGAAAATCCGTTGCTTGCTAAATGAATTTGACAGCCCAGAAAGCTTTCGATCAATACGAGTAGTCAGTCCTTTGTCCTCAGACATCTTAGTATATGTTGTTGAGCAGAATCAGAATACCACTGCAAGACCAAAGTGACAGAAAATTAATCACAAAGTTGGTTCAGAAACGGTAAAGTAGAACAATAATGGCAAGATTAAACTCGCTATTACTCAATTCTCCTTCAGGTTACTTACATCTTACCGGAAAACCAACAATTTGCGTAGTTGTCTGCGAGTAATCTTGATTTGCTCGAGTACAGGCACGTACAAAGATTGTCTTTGTTACAAATGCACTTGAGGCCTGGCCAGGATTTTATAGTGCAGCACGAGCTCGTGAAAAGAATGAATTACTACTTTTTAAGTCTTATTCTTAAGAAGATGCAGATCAGATATGTATTAGCTGATACATCCAAATTGCTATGTAAGATGCCAAGCAATTTCCTTCAGTAAATTACAATGTACAACAGTTCTCGTGGAGAGACGTGCTACAGAATACCGCCCCTATCCGTTGACTTGCTGAACAAAAAAAGTATGCCTTACTTAATAATCCAAGCACCACACATCGAACCTTCCTTGATGGTGCTAAATAGGGGTGTACAACTTGACCCAGTGATCCGCAAAAGCAGATCAGATCCGGATTCGATCCGAATTAATCGGGTCACATTCAAGTCAAAGAGCTATGCAGATCAGATTCAAATCATTTTTTGTGATTCGCAGATATCTAATCCGACCAGCATAGTATTTTTGTTATTTTTAAAAATATTTTATACATTAAATTCAAGAATTTAAAATAGTTTTATCTCTTGTTTCCTATTTTATTTTTATGTCCTCTTCCAAAACAAGCTTCTTTGTATAAGATATTAAGTTTTTAAACATATTGTCATATAATTTGTTGACAAAAAATTTGTAAATGAAATATTTGATCTTATTTGTTTGAATCAAAATAAGGAAAAAAAATACAGAAGTTACTTTAAATTGCAATAAAAAAAGATTAACTTCCACCAAAAACTCTTTTTATAATTAAAAACTCATACTATGTATTTATATAGTATTTAAAAACTAGTTTATATAATACTTTTGAAACTCTAATATATTTAGAATTTATTTTATCTTTAGAATGTTTAGTTTTTTAAAAAAAATTTAAGAATCAAATACAGATCAGATATCTAATTGATCTAATCCGCATAATACATATATCCACATTAGCATATTTGAATACGGATCACAAAATGACTAACCCAAGTTTTGTGGATAGGGTCAAATTTTGGTTCACGGGTTGGATATCCGACCATCCAACCCGTGAGCACCTCTAGCGCTAAACCAACAATTGGAAGTAAATTAAGAAATTGTTGTTTGACTTTTCTTTTTCTTTTTGTTTGGTTTGGAAATTCAGCTTCTACAAAACCATGGGTAAAGCTTATAGTACAAGTGTGCAGAAGAAAAGTTGCCAATACAGGCACATGAAAACTTTTAGTGTGATAGCCTGTCTGGGAGAATGGGTTGTGTCTGAAATAAAAAATTATGTGTGGGAGTGGGTAAGGATATACTTTAAATGAACATGTACAAAAAAAAAAAAAACTGTTCTTTTTTTTTTTTTTGAGAGTAGAAAAGGAAGTTAAAAAATAAATAAATGAAGTGTTTGATTCATATTCTGATGAAAAACATGCTTGGATTGAAGTTTTTCCCAGAAAAATTTTTATATTTTTTGTGATAATATTTTTCAATCATTTTTTGATTTTATATACATCAAATTATTACAGTAATTTTCTACAAAAAAAAAAAATCTCTAGAAAATAGCAATTCAAACAAGGAATTTTATTTGGAAGAAGACAATCTTAATTAGATGGGAAACATGGTGGACAAAATTCTAGAAATAAAGTCTTCTATTTTACTCATGCAACCATTGAAACAAACTAAATATGAACCACAGAAGTACCATGACTTAATCATTTAAGGACCAAACAACAGTCAGTACTAGGGCTGCAATTTCTGGGAAAGCTTTTTAAGTAGACTCCATACAACCAATTTTTACTGCACATACTCTTTGTTATGATTTTTTGTTATCGAATATTGATAAACAACAGGCGTGAAGATTGTGAGATTTTTCTTGGGACCAAGTAGCAGAATTGGATAGAGGAAGTAGAGACAAAGTAGGTAAAAAAGGAGTAAGACCACAAAATCTGATAGATTTTGTTTGGATATGTTAGTTTTCTCTCCAAAAATTTTTTTACTTGCATCATACATATGCTTTCTTCAGTTTTTTTTTAAATCTTTTCAACGATTTTTTTAATCTCACATTTTTCACATAATAAAAAAAATACTACAATAATACTTCAAAAATCTCCTATATTTGCTATTTATATTTCGGACGCACAATTCTTGTTCCTCTTCCAAAAAGACTTTCTTTATGTTTTACCATGTAGCCAAAGAAAAACTGAACAGTACTCTCATAACTACACACTAATGATCCGCAATTTTTTCAAATTTATTTTGAGGATAAATTATTTTTTACCCCCTTGTGATTTGGTGATTTACCACATAATTCCCCTATCATTTTCGGCGCAATGATTTGGGTTAATTTGTCATCATTAATTTTTTTTTTTTGTTCAAACTAACTGTCAATAGTAAAAAATCAAAATCAAACTAATATATTTAGGAGAGGAGAACTTCATATAATTGAATCAAGTGGTGGGAGTACTTACTAAAAAATTTTTTTTAAAAAAATAGATAATGTGATAGACGGGTAACGAAATTTGGATCCTAATGTGTGTTGGAAAACTCTCGCAGGCCCATGATAGGAACTACACACTGACGGAAACGAATTTTAATCACGGCCCACGATAGGAACCGCATAATAATAGTATTATTGATTTTAATCATGATTCTATATCTTAATAAATAGTATTAAAAAAATGAATTTTTGTACTACTATGACCGGAGAGTCACGCCCGCTTGCCCATGGGGAGTCATTGCACGAGGAATTGGCTCATTTCTAGTGGGTTCTCTCTCCAATTTTTTATAATATACATTTGGATATATGATATGTATTTTCATTTATTAGGAAGGAGCATGTCATGCATCTGAATATACATTGCGAGAATAGAGAGAGAATTCATTAGAGATGAGCCAAGTCCATTATGTGGAACCTAACTGCAATCATCCCAAACAATTATGTCCAAATTTAACAATGGGCCTGCAAAAAACCTATACTTAGCTCTTATGGGAATTCGATTCTTTATGATTTTTGGGACAAACTCTATTTGCACTTCCAAATTTGTATTGTTTTTTCACTTTGTATCATAAACTTTAATTTTAAACATTTTATACTTTATCCTTTCAATTTTAAATACTTTACATCCTAAACTCTCAAATTTATCCCATTTAAGTCTAATCAATGTCATTGTTAGCAAAATGAATAAGATAAAAAAATGATGCAAATTGATGACATTGTATCATTTTATTCTAGTTGTGATTCCTTAGCTCTTTTTGACCACATCAACATATTATCATTGAATTATATGGTCCTAATCACTAATACTTTTAGCAAAATTAACAAAATAAGAGATGGAACAAATTAATGACAATATATCATTTTTGTTCTAACTGTAATCCCTTAGCTTATTTTGGCCACTTTCAACATAATATCATTAATTTATAGGGTCTTCTATTTCGTTAATTTTAGTAATGTTGTCATTGATTGAATTTAAATGAGATAAACTTAAAAGTTTATGGTACAAAATGTCCAAAATTAAGAGTTTAAAGTATAAGGTGTCCAAAATTAAAGTTTAGGATGCAATAAAGTGGAGTTAATGATTTTTACGGTAATATCTCCTCCAATTGAACTAGAGTTTAGTTGAGGAGCAATAAAAATTTGCAACAAAAAATAAGAGATGGAGACTAAGTAGAATCTAAATACTCAAATACAATTTGGGATATACTTGAGAAAGCGAGAAGGGATCCCAAATTGTTAAACTTAGTAGTTAAGACTCAAGTTGGCATAGCCATTGGGTTAGTGGTTTTGAGTCGGGACTACGTAAGGAGGTGTAGGCATTAAGTGTTGCATAAGACTAAGGTTTTGGTAATTCAATTCAGCATTTAAATTTAATGGGTTCAATTAATATGTTCAGTTGCGTTTGATAACTAAAATAGAACATCTAAATTAGTTAAATGGTTCTGAATTTTCTAAATAAAATTTGGTTCCAAAAATAAGTGATAAACTATTTTTTTTCCCACAACAATATTATTCCTATAATCTAATATATTCTATTCACTAGCAGGTATAGAGACCTGGTTAAACTAAAGTGGTGCTCTGACACTTCCTTTAGATTTTTTTTTACTATAAGTGGAGTTTAAACCCCCAAACTACAGTCCAAAAAGGGTTTTAGTCCTTTTTTTGTGGTTACTGAGCCAAAGTTGATAGGGTGTTAATTGTTAGTAATTTTATTATTAATTTTCCTCTTTATCCTTGCCAAATATTTCTTAATTGTTAACATATACTTATATTTGGTATTTGAACCTATCTACAGAGAATGAAACTAAAAAGTGCTAAAAAGGGACCTATTGGAGAAAATTGCTGCACACTTGGGAGACCCCTAAAAGCTTCACGAACCCTGGCCCACATGATGCCACAGACGGATTGAATTTCTTTTGCTGATTAAGAATGGTCTGGGCTTTGGAGTCTTTTATGAACAATAGGAAACGAAAGAGGAAAATTTGGCAGAGCCTCACTTTTGGGTTTTCTCACTTTCGGCGGGGACCACGGAGATAAGAAAAGGCACTAGTCATTACTTTAAAAGGGGAACGTACAGAGGCTTGAAAGCTATGTTTTCAGAATCGGACCGGATATCGACTCGATTGAGCTCAGGGGTCAGGGGTCAATGGGTTTAACCAGATTCGATAGGAGTTCAATCGGATGATGTCATAAATAAAATTTATTTAAAAATTAAAATATTATATTTAAAATACTTAATAACATGTTAATATTAATAAAGGTATATTCATATATATATTTGATGTTTCGAATATATTTAATAAGAAAATACAAATAAATTAGAGCAATCAAGTAGCAATTTATATTATTTAATAAGGATCGAAACATCATATTAAAAATATTCTGCCCTTTCAAAAAAAAAAAAAAAAAAAAAAAAAAGAGACAGGTTCATTTTCCGGTCAAACCGGGTCAAAACCCGATTTTGACCTGGTTTGACCGAGTTTTTTATTTCCCGGTTTTTAGGATTAACTCGGACCGATCAACTGGCCGGTTCTCAGTTCGACCAGTCGGTCCGGTCCGAGTTTAAAAACAGAGCTTGAAAGGGGACTTGTTATCAATAGTTTTAGCATAGCTTTAGTCTTAGTTTTTCTTTCTTTTTCCTTTTCATGCGCATGAGGTGCTCGACAATATTTCTCAACGGAAAAAAAATATCTTTTACTCTTGCTTTCTAGTGAAAAATGTGATGCCTTTGCAATCAATTAATTCACGTGGAGATTTATTTATGCGGCGTGGCTAAGCCTTTCATCTAGTCAAGGACCAACTCGACGGCGCAGTTCCAAATACCTGTGAGA